ATTGCGCAGCCTGTGGGCTTTCTTTTTGCGTCGCCCCTCCCGCCCCGCTGCCGCCGCTTCCCCTCCGCGCGCCAGCGCCCCGTCCTTGCTTATCTTCTTCCTCCTCCTCCTCCCCCTCCTCCTCTTCCTCCTTCTCGTCCTCGTCCTCGCCCCCCCCCTCCTCCTTGAGCACTTGCGGCGGCTTCTATTCCTTCGTTGTCACGATTGGGCGCAGCTCGGCAAAGAGGCGGCGCTGGCTGGAATATGCAATGCGCCTTCTTATATTCAACCAAGCCCCCCCTCCCAGAGGTGCGAAGACAAATGCGCTTCGCAGGGCGCGGCGCGGGCCCCGGGGTCAGTCTCCAGCGCGGCCTCGCGAGGGCGCGAAGATGAGGGCGCGAAGATAAGGGGCGCGTCGAGCCACGCGGGTCGCGATGCGCGAAGTTAGGTGGCCAGACCTAGTTCCAATCATCTTCAGCGGCGCAATCCATCGTCTCCCGTATGTGGCCATCAGTGCTTGCAGCGACTCGACCTGGCAATCGTAATCTGGCTCGCCCCACTTTGCTCGCCCAGATATCACTTGCGCGGGCTACGCGCTGATGGGGATTGACGGTGAGATGCAGGTTGCTCCGCCGCGCCCCCCCCCACCCCCTCTGCTTTTTTTTTTGTTTTTTTGTTTTTTTTTTTTTTTTCTCCCCCCCCCCCCCTGCTCGATGCGGAAGGCCAGGTCCCACCGACTTCGAAGGTGTCATTGCATGGGGGCAACGCGTTGCAGATGATGTGCCTCGTCTTGGCCGTCGCTGCCAGGATGTCCCGAGGGCCAGGAAGGTGGTGTTGACGACGCACTATTCAGGAATTGGGTGCTGTGAAACAGCTATGACACAGCTTGAGGACTCCGCCCAATTCAAATTCCGATCGCATTCTGCTTACGAGGTCGACGTTAATACCAGAAACCTGCTCCTCTCCAGCAGACACCGTCCGGACCGCGTTTTTGGCGATGTCCTTGACAAATTGGCGGCGTTTGATAAGGGTAATCTATTGAACATCCAACGTGAAGCTCTGGGAGCCGCTGAAGCAGTAGATGATGACGTGCGCTGCGCGTTGGATGACGCCGACGATGTTCAGACTAATATGGCGACAGGATGGCCATCAATATGCTCAAAGTTCTTGCGAGAGTCAAGTTCAAGAAGCGGGGCTGGTGTTCTGCGCGCGGGCGCACTTGCCCCTCGGTGCCGAACTTGGACCAGAACGAACTGCACCTGGAGGTCTCTGGAACGACATGCGTTGCATGGTCTGGCACGAGAGATTCTGACAGTCTGACCAACAAGTGGCTCCACCAAAGTACGTTGCCGTGCCTCGTGTGGATGCATTGGGTGAAGCAGGTCAAGCCCCGCATGTTCATTCACGAATGCGTGTCAGGCTTTCAATGGGACTCTCTGTCAAATACCCTGAGCAACCACTTCCTCGTTTCGCTGAACTTCAGCCCGAAACAGCTCGGCACTCCCTGCAACAGGCGCCGTCGCTACACTCTGGAACAGACATGGAGAAGGTGCAGATCGCAGAGAACGCACTCATGTCCGAGCTTGTTGACCTAAAGGACCGCATCGGTGACCCCGACGCGACCAACGACGTGCGCGACCACTTGGAGAAGCTCTTCCAATTGGCATTATTCCGCGACGTCGTCGCCCCATGCGCTGTGCACGAGCAGGCGACGGGGTTGCAGAAGCAGGAGTTCATTCGCAAAGGGATGGCCAACTTAGGCTAGATTTGGAAGCCAGGGGCTGAATTTGCACATATTCTGGCGTCGGCGAGCTTCCAGTGGTGCATGGGATATCGCGGCCTGTTCCTGCAGATGTTGCTTAAGGGAACCGCGGTGATGCACGGCGCGGCCGTCGTGGGCTTGGGCCAGACGGTGGGCCGTAACAGAATCCAGCCAAGTCGTGGCGGCGTGGCCCCAGCGTTACTTACGCGATCTGAGATGGCCATCATGCAAGCGAAGCCCAAGGCGCCCACGGGTGACGCGGCGATTACCGTCCGCAGCATTTTGCCAGTTGAACTCTTCGCCATCCAGTCGTTTCCCATCGACGCAGCGGCCCTGCCCCATGGCGAAGGCACCGCTCAACGCCGAGGCGCTGCGGACTTGCACCTGCGGCTCTCCCCTCGGGCCCCGGCTGACCTTGAGAATGTGCCCGATGCGATGTTGAAGAAGGTCTTGGGGAACGGGGTGCATTTGGAAGCTGCCGGGTCAACTGTCGCGTTCGCCCTCGCCCTGTTCGAAAAGAAACCTGCCGAGCCAAGGGCAGGTCGCGGCGCTACCACAGGCAACCCCCCCCCCGCCGATGAAGGGCCCCGGCGGCGGCAATGGCAAGGGTGAGCAGCCCAAATGCTTGAACGCTCCCAGCAAACGCCCGGCCGGTGCGCGGGCTGCGCCGGGCGCGCCGATGAAGAAGGCCAAGGCCTGAGTGCGCTAGTAGCTGGCGCAAGGAGGAGAGGGGGGGGGGGGGGAGGGGGGGGAGAGGAGAGGGAGATGGGGAGGAGAGGAGGGAGAAGAGGAGGAGAGGGGAGCCAACGTCTGAGTACACTGCGCACTTGATAAGTACATTGTCAGAGCGCTGTGAGAACAGGCGGCCTTCACGGCGCCTTGTGGGCACGCTGGGTGGTGAATCACTGAGCCGCGCGGTTGCCCTGCTGACTCATTGACTTTACGTTCGCGCTTCATAGGATTGTATACCGCAGCTTGCACAGTGGAGTTTGAGCAGGCGCCCAGTCTCCAGCGTGGTCCAGTGGGTTGGTTTCGCGGTGGAGTCAGCATGGCGCGCCCAACAGGCGTCATGACCGCGCGCCGCAGTTTGTGCTGTCATTCGGCAGCGCCCATCTGCGACGCATTCTTCCTACTCCTCCGGCTCCTCCCCGCCTTCTAAATCCTCGTCCCCCCTGGGCCCTTCTCTTCCTTATCCACCGCTTCCCTCTCATTATCCTGCTTCCTGGGTCTCGGTTCGACGGCGCCTCCAAGGGGCCCTTCAAAGAAACTTCCAAGCCCTTGGAAGACGCTTCCAAGAAGCCCTTCCGGAGGCTCAAAGACGCTTCAAGACGCTTCCAGGATGCCCTTCAAATATGCTTCCAAAGCGCTGCACATACGCTTCCAAGAAGCCCGTCCCAAGGCTCAAAGACGCTTCAAAGACGCTCAAAGATGCTCACAAGAGGCCCCTAAAATATTCTTGAGAGGCCTTCAAGACACGCTAGCGCTAAAGATGCCCCGAAGAGCTTTGAACGATATCACAAGGGTCCCCGTGTAATTTCATAGGCATGCAAAGGGGCCGAGGCCCACAGCCAAGGCAAGGCGGCAGATGGCGCCGAAAGACACTTCTGGCCCCAACTTTACTCCCTGAGCGACGTCCGAACCTTGAGCGGCCAATGATGCGCGCGTTGTTGCGCCCAGCCCCAGCGGGCGCAGGGGGGGGGGGGGCGTGGGGAGGGGGCAGACGGACACATTAGATGAGGAATAGAACCCCCCTCAAACAGCTGGGACTTGGCTGGGTAGACAAGTCTGAAACCAAGCACTGCGCCCATCCCCAGTCCAATCATAATCCTCCCCTCCGTAACCCTTTGGGCTCGGCCAATTTTGGCTCCTCTATGCTTGCGGGCGCTCGCTGTCGTCGACGGCCTCTAGCAGCGCCGGCCTGCTGAAATGCATCTGCTGCTCGTCGTGGACGCCGACGCTTTCAGCGGTGCATTCTCTGAAGCAAGCGACTGACAGCGGTCGGGTTCAGAGCCGCAGAGTGAGACTCGGCCATCGGGGGTCCGAGGGGTAAGACGCAGGGGCAAGGCTGGCCCCGCAGACAGCTCTGTCAACCAGTCGCCAACAAGAGAGAGAGAGAGAGAGAGAGAGAGAGAGAGAGAGAGAGAGAGAGAGAGAGAGAGAGAGAGAGGGAGAGAGAGAGAGAGAGAGAGAAAGAGAGAGAGAGAGAGGGAGGGAGAGAGAGAGAGAGAGAAAGAGAGAGAGAGAGAGAGAGAGAGAGAGAAAAAAAAAAAGAGAGGTCGCGGCCGCAGAGATTCTAGCAAGGCCAGCGCGGGAACATACCAGAGAGAGGCGTTGGCTAAGGCCAAGGCGAAAGCCAAGGCAGCGGGAGGGCTGTGGCAGCGCATGGGCTGTGCAAGAAAGCCCCCGCCCGACCAGATGGCAAACAAGCGATGCTGCCCCAGGGGCAAGAAGATCATGCCGCCTCTACGCAGCTGCGAAACTGCAGAATAAGCCGATCTGGCTTTCAGATCAGCTCATATGCACGTCGTCCTCGGTTAAACTATGCTCGTCCTGCAGGGGGAAGTGCGGATGCGATGAGGATGCAATTGCGCAGATCCCCGCTGGAAAGTTCATCAACAGCTACTACGAGGAGGTCAAGGCGCCCACGGCGATCAAGATGCAGGGCCATGGCATCATGATGACGACGCAGCTGTGCATCTGTGAGATGCAGGAACCGAAGCGCGGCCCCATGGATGTAGAAACGGCCAAGAGGAAGTGGGAGGACATGTTCGCCGACCCGGCTGCGATCAAGGACGAGAAGGATGGGGAAAAGCGGGCGCGAGTCTGTCTTGACGATTACGTTGTGTACGAGAACAAGGTGGAGCAGAGCAAAGGCGTCAACCGGACATTGCCAGGTGGCAAGAAGAGCCCCCTCGAATATTTGCAGAAGATGGCCCGGGGCATCGCTTCGAACCACGAGTCGACCTTCCAGAACTTCGGCTTGGGGTCGGGGATCACTGAGATTGCGTCCAACATGGCTCAGCGCCGCTTCGGCTGGGTTTGCGTTCACAGGAAGCTCGACTGCCATTGGTTCACTTTTGGATCTGCTTGTCGACGACGTCGGCCCGTCGTGCCAGCCATTACTGCTGCCAGGTGCCGCAGAGCCTTCTTCTGTTGCAGGCGCAGGTGATGGTGGAGATGCTGACGATGAAAAAACCGATGGCGAAAAGCGCATGGCCCTGCCAAGAAATGGCTGGATCGTGACCGGGCTATCTCCAAGGCGCCCCGTGGTCAGTTGAAGTGGAAAGAGACCATGCACGAGAAGGCCTTCAAGTCCATGGAGTCTGCGACCGTGGCCCTGTCTTCTGCAGAAGGTGCGCGGAGCCACGTGGAGTTTGAGATGCCAGTTGCCAGCTCGCGCAAGGAGGCCTTGTCCTTAGTCCTCGCGAACAACGCCGACCCTGAGACTGCAAGCACGAGGCTCCGCGATTACACCGCAGCGGTCGAGGCAAGGGAGTCGGCGCGTGATGTCGAAGTCAGGACAGGGGGTACCACTGCAGCAGACAGCGTCACAGGCGAGCGAGCCAAGCTCGGCCAGGGACCGCCTCGTGGAAGCTACGAGGACCTCATCACCATGAAGCAGTTCGACGACAAGCTTGAAACCTTCGTGGGCGCGAGTGCGCGTCAGGAGCTGACGGACATCGCAGAGGACCTCCAGAAACTCAAGGAAGCAATCTCCGAGCTCGTTGGAGTGACAGCAGGTGTTGCACGCGAGCTATCGGCTGGAGTCGTTGTGGCCAAAAAGAAGATCCAACAAGAGAAGGAGCTAACTGACCAGAAGAAGCAGAAGACCGAACAGTCGAGGAGAGCTGCCCGTCCTGCTGGCGCACCGCCTGCATTCAAGGCTGATTCCAACAATCCGTCTGGTCCCTTCGTTTTCTTGCCCATGTCCGGGGTCAAGGAGATTGAAGCGTTGACGAGCTCGGCGTTCACAAAGAAGCTCAACAATGGTCTCGCGTTTGACGTGCCACGCATCGTGAACATCGACCCAGGCTGCGAGGTGCTGAGGCTGCTGACTACCCCTTCTGTCACTAGAGGGGACAGGTGCGTCTCCCATCAGGGTGGCGCCGCAGATGTTTCGAGGCCGAGCGGGGTCATCATCCCTTCCGTCAGAGCTCTGGCCGCGCGCAGAAGCCTGTTCGAGCTGTAGGTAACTCTGAGGCTGCAGCAACCCAGGTCTTCGAGATATTCGAGGGCTTCCTGGGGCCAGTCCTGTCTCAGGCCATGGCGACCGCGAAGTCAGAGATGACGTCGGGCCTAGCGATGGATAGGCCCTCGGTGAACTTGGCGCCCCTCTTGCAGCAAGCATTCTTTGCTCGCGCCATGGGCCGCCTTCACTGCGCGCCCGAGCGGGGTTATCTTGGGGCTGCGCGCGCATCGGTGATCGGATCCTGGGAGATCTTGGCAGCGCCTCTGACTGCGCTGCACGAGGGACTGATCGCCTGGAGTGCGAAGACGCCACTGCGCATCAGCCAGGCGCGCAGGTACTTCAAGCAGATGTCCGAGGAGCTGTTCAAGGTAATGGTGTCCTCGCCGAACGGCGGCGTCTACCACGGGGCCGTCGGCGCGCGAGACATGTCGATCATCCTTCCATCGTGGGTCGCCCTCGAGCGCGCGTCCAGCGCAGGCGCGCTAGGGTTGCGTTTGTCGTGGGCTTCGCGGGCCGACGTCCACGGCCTCGATGCGCTGCGCACGGTCCTCACCCAGAACGGCTCGCACAGCGATGCGACGGCGGAGGTGCTGGACTATGCGAAGGTCTACGACGACAAGGTGAAGGCGCAGGCTTGAGGAGGGCGAATGCCCCGATGAGTACTCCTCTTCCTCCTCCTTCTCCTCCTCTTCCTCCTCCCCCCCCTCCTCCAACCTCCTCCTCCTCCTCCCGGCCTCTGCGGGCCGGGCTTCTTCCAGACCCTGCGTGGAGCGTAGGCTGCACTGCGCGGGCGGCGAAGCCAGGTCTGACTTAGGCGTCAATTCGGGAACTTCGGGGACCTCCTCCTCCTCCTCCTCCTCCTCTTTCTCGTCATCCCTCTCCTCCTCCTCCTCCTCCTCCTCCTCCTCCTCCTCCCTCTCCCCTATGCCTTCCGTCGCCTCCTTCCGCGCTTTCCTCCTTGTCACCCTCCTCCTCCTCCTCCTCTTCCTCCTCCTCCATCTCCTCCTCTACCTCCTCCCCTCCTCCCCCTCCTCCCCCCCCCCCCCCCCCCGACTCTAAGCTCTTCCGCCCCTACTCCCCCCTCCTCCCTCCATCCGGAGGGAGGTGGGTGAGGATGCAGAGGTTGGGGGGATGAAGCTTCGCAGCTGTTGCGGATGCCCCCCCTAGGCAGCGGCAGCCCTCGAGAAGGGCAAACGGATGTTCATGATTTTCCAGGCGGAGGCGGCCGCCGCACCTGATGCTTGCCACCCCGGGAAGGAGGCGGCCGCGGCCGAGAAGTCGAGCGGTGCACCTGATGCTTGCCATCCAGGGGGGGAGGCGGCAGCTGCCTCGAAGTCGAGCGGTGCCTCAGTTGTTGACCAGCCGGCCGATGGGGCCGAGCTAGATGGCATCGCGCTGCCGAGCCCCACTGAGTCCGCGGCTGAGTCAGCGAGTCTAGTAGCAACCGTTCCTCTCCTGTCTCCTGTGCCTGTGCCGCTCGCTGATGCGCCTGCGCAGCCTGTGCCCGAGCCTAGTGCGCCCGCCGCCGCTGAGCCCGCTGATGCTGCGCTGCAGGAGCTGGAGACGCAGCTTGCAGCGTGGCGACCGTTTGGCTGCGACGTCTGGGGCCGCCTCGTGTTAGGGGCTACAGGCGATCAGCATCGTGTGACGTGTCTCGCACGCAGTGTACATATGGGGTCGCGAGCTCATTTGTGTGTCCATGGGGTTGCTGAGTCGCGCAGGTCTTCGCGCAGCGCGACTGGCGTTGGCCATAGTGCGCTGCCACCCTGCCGCCACAGCAAGAGCTTTGTTTTAGTTTTGTTGCAGCGCTGCGAGAGGCCCCATCGCTTCGTCCTCATGCATGCGCGTCGGTGTGCTCATTCAGATTCGGAGTCGGGCCAGGCCACGCTGGGGGGCCAGAGAACAGTAGGAGGAGGAGGAAGAGCATGTGTCCGCACACCCCTGTTAGCAAATTGCATTCCGATTCCAGTTTCCGGTGAGAGATCTTTGTCGCCTCGGCAGACTGCAGTTGCGAGCGCGGGTTTCGCAGCTTGCTTGTCGCGCGGTGGTGGCATAGAATAACAGCACCCTCCACTCCCCCGCCTCCTCCTCCTCTTCCTTCTGTTCCTCCTCCTCCTCCTCCTCCTCCTTCTGCTGCTCCTCCTCCTCCTCCTCCTGCTGCGTTTGCCCGGCCGGCCCGGCCGGCCCGGCCGGCCGTCGGCGCGCCTCGGCAGAGTCTAGGCCCTCGTCTCGAGGGGAGGCGCTGGCGTGGCGCAGGAGGAAGAGGAGAACGAGCAAAAGGAGGATTCTGCCTGGCCCCTCTCTCGGGGGAGCACTGTTTGAGACATTGGTAGTTGGCCTGCGAGGGGGCCCCTCGTCGCCGCGACTGGGCGCGGCGTGGAGAATGAGGGCGCGTGGGCCCTGGGAGTCCCTTGGGAGGGGTCCGGGGGCCGACTGTGACCCGATTTCGAACTGTCGGTGTCTCAAGTCAGTTCGAAGACTCTCGAACTCCTCCTCCTCCTCCTCGTCCTTGCCTTCCTCCTCCCCCTCCTGCTCATCTCGCCCCCCTTGCCCCAGCGCGTCTCTCTACCTTGAACTCGTTTTCGCCCTTCGTCCTGCCCTACTCATCTTCCCTTCCTCATCCTCTTAATCACCCTGGGGCGCTTTGCCCTGCCTTCCTCATCCCCCCCCCCCCCCCCCCCCTCGAGTCCCCGCCGGCCGGCTGGCCGGCTGCTCGTGCCCCCTTTCTTATATGATTCATGCTTCGCGTTTCGTGAACCCCCAGGGCAACCGTCCAGAATCGATGCAAAACGGATCGGTGCTTCACAAATCGTTCAGTGAGGATGCCATCTGTGGTGATCAGGGCCCTACAACGGCACTGGGTTTCGTTCGCTAACGTCAATGTGAGCCAAGCGTCCTGGATGCGGGATAACAAACGAACGGGCGCGACGAAGACGACGAAAGCGCTGCAGCATGGAAACCGACGCGCTAGAGGGGGGTGGGGGGTGGGGGGGGCGGGGGGGGCAGACACGATCAGTGAGATGCGGGAGATATGGTGGGGGGGGAAGTTGATGTCGACGACGGCGGTGACGATGGGTGATGCAGGATGATTGGAAAGCGGCTTCGGCTCAAACGCGCTGGATCGGATTTTCACGGGGTATCGTTTGGTCAACAATGGTGCGACGCCCCATGATTCAAATACCTGGGCGCCGAAATAGGCCCGCGCTACTTTGCCGTGGATTTCCAGGAGCGAATCGATGGGCCAACTGTCTGGCGGGCGCGAAGTCGTTAGTCTTACGGTTGCTTGCCTCGGTTTGGGAACCGCGGTGCGTTTCAATTCGTCGGCGCGCTAGCCGATGCGAAAATCCGATCACGCGCGCTGGCAACCGACAAGCACCGCTGACAACACCTGGTGAAATGCGTTGTTGTGCGTTGGATTGCCGCGGGAAGTGACCGTTTGCTGGCCCGCGCCTCCGATTTGTAAGTTTCCCCATGCATTCGGCATGCATTTAGCGCGCACTTGCGCGAGGACTCCGGTTCCCTCTCGGTTCAGCATTGTGGCCCCCGTCCGCCATCACTCGCTCGAAACGCCCCCCCCCCCCCCAGCGTTGGCCCCATGGCCGCCCCTATGCTTACTGCGGTTGGGAATCGAACAGTAATGTTTCAACGATTTCAGAAGCACTTCGCCTGAGAGGAGCTGGCCAAGACACCGCCTGTCCTCCCAATGGTGCCGAGGGATCGCGCCGGGTGACTCCTGCCCGATTCAACCACCACCAGACGAACCTCTACGAGTCCATCATGGAGTTCAAGAAGTATCCTTTACTATTCCTCACTCTCAGCACATTATTGCTGGTGGTGACGCCAGTGGAGGTACCTACTCGTCCGACAGACGACTACGGCGCGTCGCGTGGGCCACGATTTTCATAGCTGCCTCGTTGGACGAAGCAGGGTTGGCATTACTCCATGGCAAACCTATAACGCAACGTTTGGATAGTGGCGGCCTCCCAGGTGATATACAAACAATCAAGAGAGGTGAGCTCGCGGCCTTCATCGCGGCACCCACCACAGCCACTGACTGCAAGCAGCCCCCAAGCGTTACAGACTCTGCATATGTTATCCGCGGTTTTGCCAAGTACCTTTCTGGATCTTTGGTTTCAAGTCAACAACTCGTGTGATCGGCATTCCTCGCGCAGCGTCGCCTTTTTCATGATCGAGCCCCACGTGCCCCCGCCCCCCCCCCCCCCCCCCCCCCCCCCCCCACACGCACACGCGCGCACACCACCCCCACCCCCACACGCACACCACCACCACCACCACCCCCAGGAGGCATTGTCAAGTGGCGTCAACATGGCATTCTTCTTAGCCCGTGGCGCTGCTGACAAAGCAGCGCAACATCTAGCTGAGCAAACTGCTGTTGCAGATGCAGATGCCAGTGCAACAATATATTGATGCGTTGCGAGGAGCTTTCAGATCGCACCTGACCACAGTTTTTCATCGACGTGATCAAAGACAATGATGCCTCATGGATTGGAACTCATCAAGCCTGATATCTTGATATCACAGATCACAGCTCCCTGACTTGGAGGGATGGAAGACTGGCGTGGCTTGGACTGTGGAAAGAGTGCTCTTCGACCAGCTGCAATCAGATTTCTCAATGAACCATGCAGACTTTGACTTGCCAGTGGCAGATGTGCGAAACCTTTCAGATCTACGACGGCTGCAAGCACACTTGGCAAAGTTCACCCCGCGCGCAGCTTGATTTCGGTGGCGGGCCTCAATATCGATATTTCTTTGCATCTGGGGGCAATGCCACCGAGCGCATGGTCAATCTTGCCAAGCCATGCGTGCCGAAAGGAGGCATACCTACTACGAGAGGGGTCCAACATCTCAAGGGATTACATGTGGGCATCCATCCGACCATGCCTCTGGGTGACAATTCTACGACAACAAGGCGTAGCACGACCCTTGCGCCTAGTTTCACGGACTCCGCCACGACGCCAAAGAGTGCGATGCGGAGTCCGACCAGCACTGACGCATCACCTATGGCTGCAACTAAGGACTAGCACGCGGGCACCGTTGCAGCAGCGTCCTCCGCTACACGGTGCGCTCCGAAACAATCCTCTGACGCTACGCGTCTTGTGCGATTCGTCAGGCGACTCTGGCTGTTTTTTTTTCGCGCGCGTGACGCAGTCCAAAGCGGCGCGCGGTGATTGCGCGCCTCGCTAGCCGTCAGAGTTGGTCGAGGAGCCTCGCGCGAGAAGATGTGTTATACGTGATTTCAGACAAAATATCTGCGCCCCCAGTGTGGTCACAAAACAACTCCCTCCTCTGGGCTCCCAGGCGCTGCTCCTGACCCAGGAGGCTCTGCATCTGCCGCTGCCCCCGCCCAGGGACAGATCGTCGAGGCCCCCCCAGCCGACTCCGACGAGCGCCTGGATCATGATGAGAACGCTGCGAAGGAAGCCGTGCTCACCGAAAAGGCCAAGCAGATCATCGCCGAGCGTACTGGTGCAGCCTCAGCACACCAGTCCCGCGGGAATATATCGGCAGGTGATCTATCCGATCAGATGACTGACAGCGGATTAGAAGCTCTCTCGACCGATCTTGCTACCGATAGCGCCCATTCGGTCCCCGATCGGGCGCTTCG